CCTATCATGACATATTATAGCTAACAACAAATCTGCTAATTGTCACCACCATGACAGGTGCGGATGAAGAATTGAAGACGACAAAAAAAAAATTGTTAAATATTAGTACTTAAAGTAGTTTTGTAATATTTTACCATAAATAACTATGTTTAGTTCTATTGTTAATGAAGTATTAATTGAATGGACCTACCAGAATCACTTAAAATGATATTGTTTAGACTTATTTTTCCTGTATGTAGTTATCAATAAATCAATTTATTTATTTATTTATTTTTATTAAACGTAACAGACTGCTATGTCGTTTTCTTAAAATCACGATAATTTATAGTCATGCTGGATTTTAATTGTTATGAGGCCCCTATATCAAATCTTAGTACAAGATCAAAAGTGTTCCATAATGAGGGCTGTGACATCGTAACGCGAAGTGCAAGACTTAACTGTGGGTCATTTCCTGACCTTTTGGCTCTTGGAATCGATACTCAATCTCAATGTTCTTCAAACGGACTTATTACCTTTCAATTGCTGATTCTAGTTTTTTTTTTTTTAAATTTAATAATTATAAATTACATGGTTTTTCCAAAATGTTCTCTATAGTATCTAATAATAACTATCGTTATTATCACATATTAAACAATTCATTTGTTTTTTTCTAAAAATTTAATATTAATTTCCGTCACCAATCTAATCTCTTTGATTGGAATTTTATTTGTTCGCATTAAAACAGATTTATTTATCAACTATTGAAATTAACTTCAAACTAGAAATCAATGTCAAAACACGAACAAACTTTTACCTTTTTCACTTACATTACATACACGTACAAAAAATTACATTTGTTCAAATGTAATAATTCAAATGAAAATGGCTCCTATACCTAAATACTTAATACCATTCTAAAATATATATATTAAAGGATATTCACTAAGGTAAGTAATTTTGAAGTACTGTAGGTCTGACATTTATTGATAACAAAGCATAATTAAGTCTAAAACTCCATTTTTTATCCATAGGTTGAAAATGTAGGGTTTAAATCATCAACTTTTTTAAAATATCAGGCCTGCCGACTCACACGACATATTGATTTCCAATAAACTTAACCTCTATGAATGAAAAAAAAATACGTTTATCATAATTTTCCTAAAACTGGGATCACCATGTAATAGAGATAAGGTGGAAAGTAATACCTATGAATAAAAATTATCCTGGCAGTATACAGAAATAAAATTTATAAAATATGATAATTTCAAATAATAAACTTTAGTAAAGTAAGTAAACTTTTCATGATTCAATTGATTTTTATTTTTTTCGACTACTTTTCAGGCAATTTTGCCCATTTTCAAGTTGAAATCTTTATCTCCTTATTTTATACTCTATGTTATGTTATTTTTTGTATAGTTGTTATAAAGTCTTTCATCATTCTTATCCTCACATTCTTATACTATTAATTTAATAACTATTTATGAAGATTCAATTCTTTGAACACGTCACTCCAATTAAACATTTTTAAAAAAATTCCATCCAATGCTATGCATTTTCGTCTTATTTATGTAATAGCGTTATATCCAGTGTGAGCTGTTGGCTTACATGTTATTATTATAATTTCGGATAGATAAGTATGCTCTAAAACATGTATGTATATGTATTTTTCCTGAACAACCTTTCATGGATAAAGCACTTATTATTATTACAAAATTATTTTGGCTTATGGCGTATTTTACGCAGTCTAGATATGATCACCTTAGATTTAAAAGTTTTCATCATACAAAAAATAAATCGTGTTCTGTAAGTAGAGAGAAAATTTTATAGAGGAATGATAGGCCTCACGATTTACAAAAAACTTTATATAAACATTGGCCCGGTTCACAACAGAAAAGTAAGAAATTCAATATTTGTGATGTTTTAAAACAAATCATAATATCTTTGCATATGTATGTTGTTTTTTATTTATTGTATATACTTTTTGATTCTTATGTATTGGTTATTTTGCTTCTGTTTATTTTTATATTTGTTTGTAAATATAATTCAAATGTCATCTTACCTCACTATACAGAATGTGTAAGTTACATAGTGATATAATATTCAATAAATAAATTTTAAAAAAACATTTGCGATTTTTTTACTCTCACTTAAGCTTTACTACTGAAAAAAATCCTGCTTTAATAAGCTTTAAATCCGTAAGTTGAGATTTTTTTTAGAGAACATTTTGAGATCCAGTTCTTGTTGTGTATAAAAATTATGTGATTTGAAATCCTATCTCTTAAATGTAACCATATTTCCACAAAAAAAACGACTGCAATACATTATTCAAAAGCTTTATTTTTTTCTTCCAAAGATCAGAGATGAATTATAATAAATTTAGATACTTAAGTACACTTATTATTTGTTTAAAAAAATGTTAAAAATATTGTTTTTTTTTGCTTATAAATTATGTTAAGTGATAATGAAACTGTGTTTTTAAGATTTTAAATCAAGATATCTATCCTGATATTTAGTTTTCGTGAAAATAATTTAAACGATCGTCAGGGAACACAGTTGCCATTATCACTTAAGATCATAAATATTCCAAAAATAATTGTTTTTAATTATTTTTTTAATTTAATAAAAATAGCATTTATATTTATTAGAATACATCTCAGATCAGTAAAAAAAAACAAAAAAAAAAAAACAAGAAATTATAGGTTTTCAATAATTTACTGTAATAACTTTTTCTCTATAAATAATTAGCTCAAGCTGTATTCATTAGTGCTGCTGAATGTTGTAAAGAATATCTATATATAAAAAAACTGATCGAAGAACTCACATATTATGAAATAAAGGCGACGATGCTAATTGAAAACCTCAGTACCATAAACCTTATTGGAACAAAGATTAAGAATAAACGATGTAAGCATATTTATGTTAGATATAATTTTTTTGAAAGATGATTCGTGTACGAGCGATATGCAGTCAGCTGATATTTTGACTAAACCACATGTCAATTTGAAATTTAATGTAAATATTTGTAATTAATATCTCTTTGTATAACTTTTTTTATTAATCCAATGGAAGTCCTTATTTATTTTAAGTGTTTGAAAAATTATAGACAAATATTTTTGTTTGTGAGTTTGATCTCAAAGCTCATATTTTTGTTTGTATAAAATTGATAATAATAATAATAAAATAAAGGGATCGTGTTCATAGTAAATTTATTAATATTAATAATGTATCGATCATATGTTACATCGATTGTATGAATATATATATATATATATATATATATATATATATATATATATATATTCCACGTGTGTTGTGATTATTTTGAGTTTCTATTAAGTTGTGTATTCCTTAGTATAATAAAGCTCTTTGTTTCAGGTTCGTTCTACACTTATTAAATAACCCATAAACCTCGGTCGTGGTAGCTTCACGCTCTTCACCCTAAGAACCTGCCCAGGAAGCGATACGAAGATCGACCTAGGAGATTCCTACGCACACATTTGCAACCAAAAAATATATATATCGTTCATCAAAGAGAGCTCTTACCATACACGAAAATTGTTTGTTTGGCAAATCTTTAAGCTAACCTAGTTTAACCCAAGGTTACGATGATCGACCTAGGAGATTTCAATTTACAAATTTGCCAACATAATATAAATCGTCTACCAAAGGGAGCTTTTATAATACACGATAGTTGTTTGTTTGGCAAATCTGCAAGGTAACCTAGTTTAACCCAAGGATACGATGATCTATCTAGGAGATTTTAATGCACAAATTTAGCAACAAAAATATATATCGTCCATCAATGGGAGCTTTTACCATACAGAAAAATTGTTTGTTTGAAAAACCTTCAAACTAACCTAGTTTAACCCAAGGATACGATGATCGACCTAGGAGATTTCAATGCACTAATTTGCCAACATAATATATATCGTTCATCAAAGGGAGCTTTTACCATACACGAAAATTGTTTGTTTGGGAAATCCTCAAGCTAACCTAGTTTAACCTAAGGATACGATGATCGACCAAGTAGATTTCTATGCACAAATTTGCCAACAAAAATATATATCGTTCATCAAAGGGAGCTTTTATCATACACAAAAATTGTTTGTTTGGCAAATCTTCAAGCTAACCTAGTTTAACCTAAGGATACGATGATCGACCAAGTAGATTTCTATGCACAAATTTGCCAACAAAAATATATATCGTTCATCAAAGAGAGCTTTTACCATACACAAAAATTGTTTGTTTGGCAAATCCTCAAGCTAACCTAGTTTAACCCAAGGATACGATGATCGACCAAGTAGATTTCTATGCACAAATTTTCCAACAAAAATATATATCGTTCATCAAAGAGAGCTTTTACCATACACAAAAATTGTTTGTTTGGCAAATCCTCAAGCTAACCTAGTTTAACCCAAGGATACGAAGATCGACCAACTAGATTTCTATGCACAAATTTGCCAACAAAAATATATACCGTTCATCAAAGAGAGCTTTTACCATACACGAAAATTGTTTGCTTGGCAAATCCTCAAGCTAACCTAGTTTAATCCATGGATACGATGATCGACCAAGTAGATTTCTATGCACAAATTTGCCAACAAAAATATATATCGTTCATCAAAGAGAGCTTTTACCATACACAAAAATTGTTTATTTGGCAAATCCTCAAGCTAACCTAGTTTAACCCAAGGATACGAAGATCGACCAACTAGATTTCTATGCACAAATTTGCCAACAAAAATATATATCGTTCATCAAAGAGAGCTTTTACCATACACAAAAATTGTTTGTTTGGCAAATCCTCAAGCTAACCTGGTTTAACCCAAGGATAGATGATCGACCTAGGAGATTTCAATGCACTAATTTGCCAACGTAATATAACCCAAGTTCAAAGTCTGTTTTAACTTTTCCAGTATACTTTATACACTTAGGATTAGGGTCATGATAAAAATCGAAAGAACAAACATTTACAGCGTTCATGTTTATTTACCATGAAAATTCTTAGCAACTAAGTACTTGAAAAAATAACTTATATGTTCTTAGCGTTTTCTCAAATTTGTAAAAATTTATCGGAAGTTATACTAATCAACTGACCGTTTCTTAAACTATAGTATAGCAATTTAAGAAAAGAAAATAATTTCGAAAAAATGCTTTTTAAAGTATTAAAAAGACGATAGGAGATACTATCTCGCGGTGGGGTTTGCTACACTCCAAATTATTGTTTCGTCTATCCTCTTCCGAACTTGAAGAACAGACTGACCTCAGGAATAACATGGCCTTACAAAGGACTAGTAGGGCATTTAGAGAGCAAAGAGGAGAGAGGAGCGAATGAGATTCATAGGACTGGAGTGTGGCATCAAAGGAGCCTGCTTGGAGTATCCCACACTCCACCCTGCCATTACAGTGTTAAAGACAATTGTAATTAGTAATAATTAACATTGTTCTAATTTATGACTGTTATCAAAAATTTCTCATGGGAATAAGTAAGTTTATCCTTTTTTAAAAAATTTATATAGGTTTTTTTTTTTTAATTTATGATAATAAGGTGATTCTCTCTAGATTTCACCTCATCTGGTCTAGAACTAGACAAGTCAAATATGTTAAGTTTTTTGCTCATTTAGTATTTTTGTTAACTCGTTCTGAGTTAACTAACGTTTATTCTAGATGTAAACTTATTTTTATATACATTTTATTTATTTATTTTTTAATTTAAGAAAGTCATTTGCGCCTCCCTATAAATTGTATACATATATTACATACATTGTATGGTCTGATTAAAATAAAAGAAATGACACTTAGAGCATGGGAAAAGTACGACCCACCAGTATCTCCTTCATTCAAGTATTGAAGATTCAAGTATCTTGATTTGTCAAGAAAGGTGGTTTTCCCTTAATTTTTAGTCTCCTCTTGGTATTGATGGGCATGTCTGCTGAAGCCATATCACTTATAAATATCTAAGTATGAAAGTATTAATTAGCATACAAATTTCATCAATTTTTTTAATTTGTTCAATGGCATTTGAATCAATCAGTATGAAGGTATTTTTTTGTCACGTGAGAAGGTGCTTTATGGCGGTGAGTAGCAACATTTTTGATTGGAAAGTTCGAAATTTTTGTAGGTAATTCTTTTGAGCCATACCATGTGAGGTTTGTGTCCATATATGTTTGAGAAAGTATATGTATGTTTTTAGGCTCATAATCAATTTTTGTTTTAGTATTTATATAAAGTGAGTAGAGTAACTTCCTCTGTTAAGGGTCTTATGTTTCATTTCAATATGTGGTTTTCATGTCATTGTTCTCCCACTAGTAAATCAAACATGATATACATTGTCCGTCTGAGGAATTTGACTAATTTCACTGTGAAGGTATTTTTTCGAAGGGTAAGTGTAATGTGATTCAGTTAATCGCGGTCTAATCCAATATTTCCATAATTTGTACCAGTCGTGTAATTTATTTATATGGTGTAACATTAATTAGATTTCTGTAGGATCTTGATCATTTTATTTTAATAATTTTTATAGTACTTATTCCGAACTCTAACAATAAGTTTTTTTCCTCTTCATATTTTTATCCACACAAGCCATAGTCTTGTCAATAAGGAGATGTAATGTTAAGTAAGGAACTAGGCATTTTAGGCATGAGGAGGAATAATACCCAGCAGCACCTCTTCCTGATCTTGGTTTACTTTCTTACTTCAGGAAAGCAGATCTCTCATCCAGCTCCTCTTTAGGCGTCTCCTGATGGGTATTTCAGCTGTGATCATGTCATTGATAAGTCCGTTGTGACATCCGTGTAGTTTAAGATGAAATCGGGAGTAGAGAGTACGTATGTGTTGGTCGATAGTTGGTTGTCGTAAGTCTGTATGTAAGTTGGTTGTCGTAAGTCGGTATTGGTTGTCCTAAATTTTGTTATTTGCTTATCAAGGAACTGATGTTATTGGTCTTAAAAATTTGGATTTCAATAATTGTACTTTTTGCAAGCACGCTTTTTTGCATAACCGTAAATTTGTGAGGCTTATGTCCATTTGGGGTCAAGTAGGTAAGTGTATGTGTTTAGTTTTTGTCTGATTTTCAGTTTTAATTAGGGAAAAAGTGAATATAGTATTTTCAAACGGTTGTTCAAAGTCTTTCGATTCATTTTAACATGTGGTCCCCAGGTCATTCTTCTGTCGAATCTTAGCCCGAAATAACGTATATTGTCCGTCTGAGGGATTTGGTTGTCGACGATATAAACAGGTGGGCATGTATGTGTCTCGTCGAAGCCTAAATGTTATATGATCTGATTTATCATGATTTAATCTAATTTTCCAAATTCATTACCAATTTTGTAATTGTAGTAAGTGATTTTGTAAATTTAGTGAGGCTAGTCTGGGGTCGTGATGTTTTGTTAAAATTGTGCCGTCAGCGTGAGTAGCAGTCAATGTTTTGGAGGTGGTAGGCATGTAATAAGTTTTCATAATGTAAAGTAAAGGACCCAATATTGATCCTTGAGGCACTCCTGTTGACACTTGTCGAATTGAGGAAGTTTCTAAGCCCTTAATAATTAAATAGGAATAAAATCCAATCCAACTTTCAATGATGTAAATACTCTGCTTGTGATATTTACAATGGTATATAGATATTTACCTGTCTGATAAGGGATTTATATATTTGTCTGTTTGTAAATTCATATCAAGTCCTGGTTGATGCTGTTACACCGAAACTCAAATGGGTGTATTGATTTATGATTTGTTCTTTGAGTATAGAGTCCATGCTGGACCCATTGCTATTGAGGTTAGTGGGAAAGGGGCGATGGGAGGGGGTGTCACACCTTCCATTAGTGGATATAGCAATGGGGCATATTTATGGGACCGTGTTGCTTTATGATTACGAATGGTTTTAAAACCAGGATTCCCGATCCATTTCTATTTCCTTCATTAGCTCTCCAGATTATTAAATACATGAATTATTGTTTGATTACTAACTAGACTAGTAGTAATTATAGTGACATTACGTTATTAATGATGTAATATTAATTTTTGTCAAGTATTCAAAACTATTCTTTTTCATCACTGTTAAAATTAAACTTATCATTTTAATACTTATAATTTATCTCTCATAATTTCGGTTTAGCTAAATCCAATGAAATACATTTTTAAAGATTTTCTCATTTTCGCAACTATTTACGAAAAAAAAAAAAAGATTTGCCACCAACGTTGAACGGTTTTACTTTTTGATCAACCCAAAAAAAAAAAAATTCAATACCTTTTAAAATATGATTTTATACTAGAAGGAGTTGATGGGGGAGAGGGTGTGGTCAAATTAATACAAAATTAAACAAGTAGAAATATTTAATTTTTGCCGACGTTTCGACCCACTTTGCAGGTCTTCACAGGACGTAGGATGTAGCACTGCGGGAGGCAGTTGAACCACCAAAATGTTTAATTGTTTAATTTTTGTATTGACTTGACCGCACCCCCGATCAACTCCTTCTCTTATTATATCAACGGTCTACCATCTCTATATCATTATGGTTTTATACGTTTCAAAATAACTCTAATCTAAAAATCGTAAAAAATCTATAATCTGTCCGACGTGCCACCGCTTTTTTTTTTACGAAACATTGAACTGCCTTTATATATATATATATATATATAAACGTACATTCACTTAATTATTAAAGTTCACAACTTTCGAATACAAAATAATTTAAATTTCTTATGCCCATATCTCGCCTATTTTTTATATTTGAAAGAATACTCCTAAGAAATAAAGCGTTTAGGAGTCATTGAACAGATATGTATTAATTTCACTTTCTCTTAATTATATCTGTCTAAGAACATTATTTAACGACTTAAACCGCTTCTTTTGAAATATATTACTATACGTGTCTATCAATAGATATCTGCTCGTTTTTTCTTCTTCTATATAAACTACACTTTTGAGTGCCAAAATACCAATAGTACTACATTTAAAAAAATAAATTAAACATGTATTATGCTGAGGGTTTAGCTAAAACTGAATGATAACGATATACCTAAGATATAAAGTATTTTGGATTAAGCTATGTAGAAAAGTATAAAATAAAGAAAAACATCAATTTATTTTATTTTCTCTTAATAGGGACTCAGTGTTGAGTTAACGAGAGTTGTTTACCAAATATGCGTACTTAAAACAAGTTCTAGTCGAAAACTATTCTTTACCGTTATTTAAAATTGTGGGAATTCGCGTTAACAAAATAATTAATTTGTCCAGAAATACATTTCCTCCAACAATATTTCAGAAAATGTGATGTTTTTTAAAGGGGCTTAATAATTTAATTTGCTTTATCCGACAGTTTCGTGTTAAGCTGGTAATAATGAGGGTTTACTGAATTTATAAAAAAGTTTTAAATTTGTGATTTTTTATTACTTAAATTATAATCTAGCTTATTCTGAAGAAGATTTAGGCGATTAAAACTTTTTTAATTTTTAATTTATATATATATATATATATATATATATATATATATATATATATATATATATATATACATATATATCAAAATTAAATCTATGTAAATTAAATCTGTATATATATATAAGAATTAATTATTTTTTTGTTATCGTTTGGATGCTATACCTCCCGTATCTTTAGGACCTCTGACATTAATTCCACTGTTATTAATCAATTAAGTTAAATATTGTTTTGTTTCCATTTCTATATACATATTTTTCCATAGTTATATTTTATTTATATCTTATTTTTTGTGTTGCTTATCTATGGCTACTTATCAGTCATTCCGTATCAATTTTATCAACTTTGTCATATTTATTTGGTAACGAATGTTTTGCCACTGTTTTTAGACAAATCCTTTTAAACCATTTTATTTTCCCTTTATGAACTGATTTCATTCGGAAATATACTTTATTTACATTTGTTTGTATTGTTCAGGCTTTTTTTTTTTATGTATGAAACTATCAATTATTATCAATGTATATTATATGTTATTATTACGTGAAGATGAGATTTGACTTAGATACGTTAAAAATATTTTTTATTGATTTTAGAATAAAAATGACAGAGAGCGATGAGTTTTCAATTGGTAATTTTAAAATAATTTTATCTACCGTATTTTTTTGTTTACCGTAATTGTTTATACATAGAAAAAGAGTTTTTATATATTAATCCTGCTGTTTTAGTAAGAAGTAATCGCTTTATATACTGTCTTTATTTACGAGCGTCATTAAGCTCCTAATTGCCGATATATCTGGCTTGAATTGCTTATCAATGTTACTAACTCCGCTTACTGAAATGTATCCCCAATTAGTAATGAAAAATCCTATTTCTTGTGCCAAACGTTACCAGAGGTTTTTCGTCGCATGGTTTTTACTTAATTGTTTACAAAAATAAAACGGAAAAGATTTACTATTCTTAAAAGTCGTCATTTGAAATAAAATTGCTTATTCAACTTTTGCATTTAATAGTATATTTCTTATTGAATTTTTTTTTTTTTTTGTAATACTTCTCTGCCGGCTAAAAGTAAATTTGAGTATAATAAATTAAGATCTATATTAAATAAAATTAAGTAAAACTTTACAATTGATTATTTTTGCATAAACATAATTTTTTTTCCATACATTGCCAATTTCAAATATTTTAACAGTAATATCTCAAAACAAATAAATAAGATGAAATTTCGAAATTTATAAAAATTAGTACCATTTAAGTTAATTTATCACATTCTTATTAATTTATCGATTTATTAGATATTCTGAGAAACTTAGTTTGATCTTTATCATGCCATTTTTTACCGTAACAACAATTAATTGCTAATTGTCACCAACATGACTGGTGCTGGTGGAAATTTGAAGATAAAAAAAACTCTCTTAATGTTTATTTTTGCCATTTTTTTAATTGATGCATATTATTGTTATACTCAGATTTTGCTTGAATTTAAATCAAATGATTGTTTTATCTTTTTATTATAATTGTATAATTATAGTTTATTATAATTGTTTTTGAATGATTCGTAACATCTTAATTGTGTCCAAATAATAATTCAAATAATGAAAATTATAAAATATACTGGAGATTTAATTGAATTGCTTGATGTTTATTTCCCTTATTTTATTTATTATTTTTTATGTTAATTATAGTAACCCTCATATTATGCTTGAATATAACTCAGAAGTTTGTTTTGTCTTTTTATAATGCATTTTGTATGATTGATAATTCTGGAATATTCTTCATTATCTAAATGTTTTGAAATAAGTGTGTTATTACTGCGGATCTGTTCGTTGGTTTCACCTTTTCGTAAGTTTCAAGTTTCACGTTACGGAAAGAAAAGGAACTATTATTTGCAGCCTGTTATCTCTCTGTAGTATGTTTGAACAATTAATGTGTGTTTCAGTTCAATTTGGGGGAAGTAATATTTTTAAAAGCCTTGTTTTATTTTTAATAATAATTATAAAAACAGTTTTATTAAGCTCTAGTATAACTTTTCTTTTTGTACTAGAGTAAAACAATTGCATTACAAATAAGATTTTGTGTCTTGAAGTCTTTATTAACCGCGATTGACAGTTTTTATATTTTAAAATTACTTAATTTAACGTCAGCTACTTTGTCAAGAGAAAAGCTGGAAGTAGTCGATGGTTTGGTGATACGGAATACAGATTTTAAACCAACTTTCTTTCGTGTTCACGTATTTATAACGTGAGGTTAAGTTAATGCACATTTCGCGTGGTCTGTCGTCTGTCTAGTGTTTTAATAAATATTCTTAATCTGCATTTAGTCTAGTTCCTATGCAGAAACCTAATTGTGTAGAATACGTGGACTATATTGCAGAATAAAGACGGTTTTTGGATTATCCTGCACCAGTTTTTTTTTTACTTTTATTTTATTAATCTGATATTTAAGTAAATATATGTTTCTTAACTACAATATTCAAAAGCAGTTTGGATATCAGGAGAAGTTAATAAAATGTTTATTTATGAAGTCTCTACAGTGGTACACTCGTTTTTTGTGTTCTTCGTAGACCGTATCAGTGTGTTTTTTATATATTAGAAAAATTAAATGATCTTAATGCTTTACCTCACAAACGTAGAATAATATAAATTCTTCTTAATTTTTACCTAACAATAGCCCAGCCTTCCTTTTTTTTCTTTAATGTTTTATTTCTCTCACGTTTTAAATATTCAGACGTTCATTTTGTTGTTTATACCGTGTTCCATTTTATTGTTGTTGTTTTTTTTTGTTTTTTAAACGATTCATTTTAAAACGCTTTGATTGTGAAAACTACCAGAAAATGAATACTAACAAAAGGAGCAACAGAGTGTTTAAAACTTTCAACATGAGTTGATAATGATTTTTATTATTTAGTGGTCCATATAAATTAGAGTTTCTTCATTTTAGGATAATAGCATTATTTATATAATCTGTTTATCGAAAAATGTTGTAGGGAGATATACGCTTAACGTATCAGGATTTTGTTGCCAGTTTTTAAAATGTGCTAAATTATTGTTTATACTTTTTCTTTCTATTGTGAACATTCCATTATTTTTTTCCTGATTATTATTTAACTATTATATATGTCTCACACGAATCTACAACATGGTATACGTTATTCAAATAAATTTAATATATTATCATTCTTTACATTATTGTTCATGCCGTAATTACCCCAAAAATTGTAGAATTAATCATAGAAGTAATGTACAATTTAAATAATTCCTGCGCGTTAATTCGTAATTTAAAATAACTCTCTGGTCACTTGAGATAAATCGGCGATGTTTGTAAAAACACGTTGCATTTTGATTCCTTCAGAGGTTCGTAAGTCGCTGTTAACACTCCGTTTATTTATAAAATAATTTTTTTTCTGTTTACATTGCATTCGATCCTTTATTTATTCAGTTCGGGATGAAAACCACGAGTACGGAATGTATATGTTTCCGTTTGTGGAAAAAATAATTTACTCAAATTATATAACGAGTTGCCGATTGGGAAAAGAAAAAGTTAACATTCTTGTATATTCTATATTTAATTTTATATTCAAACTATTTAATATTCTTTCGTCTACACATCTATCAATTTTGGAGGTTATAGATTATTTTACAGAGATCATTAATGAACTAATTTCAAGCAGCATAATAAAAGGTGTTTTGATTTTGTTCTTATTTGTTAGAGATAAGAGAGTACATTTGTATATATTTTAGTTTTTTCATTATACGTGTATATTTTGTATTTTATATATGAGTGACCTTACATCAAAGAAGGTCATTGTAATTTTTTAAATGCTGAAAAAATGTAACAGTTTTATTTAAAGCAACTCAAGAATTCTGAAATCATCAGGAACAGTTGAGTTGAACCAACAAGAGGAATATTGTATTTTTCGCCGCTTACTGAAATTGACAGATTTCCGTCTTTGATATGAGGCTAATCAAATATAGATTTTTTTACAAGATTTGACATTTCCGTTAATATGTATATGCATCAATTTTTTTTTAAAATACCAAATCATAATATACCATAGATTACTTCGCATTACTAATAATCAGGATTGTACTGTATTATATTATTTTTAAGATTCACTGTCACTCATGTTAGAAAAATTTAAGACCAATAAATTTGGATTTGTACTAGAAATAAAACTATTTAAAAAAATAAATAACACTCCGAGGTGCAATGGATATTTTTTAAGGTCTACTCGTACTCAAAACATGACTGTCTTTTCTTGGTTTAAGTTGGGTCAAACTCCAAAACTTTTCTTTGGCCAATTCCGCTTTTCTAAAAAGGCGGAAGTACTTTTTTTGCGCAGTTCCTTACTATGATATTTTTTGTTCCGTCGTATACTTTATCCATTCATGGCTCTGAGGCAGGATATTGTCCGATGGTTGTCGGGTCGGGTGGTAAGAGATAAATAGGTGCTATAACGTATTAGGTGTCAGACATACGTGTCATCCCTCTGTACGTTCCTGCGCTGGAAGTTGGGCCTGTTGTCGTCGAAGCCGTAGAGACCAGCCACAGTGGCCATGCCCGGGCCCGGTTCGCATTGTCACTGGCCGCTTACCGACCCCCTCCCTTCCTCCCTCATCCCCTCCCCACTCACTCACCCAAATTTATTTTCAATTTATTAACTGATATAACATTTTATATTCTCATAAGACTTTTTTCAAAAATAGTATTTCATTATTAATATTAATACTACTACTTATAGTTAATTTTCTAATATACTTAAAAATAAAACTGAATCAAATTAACTACATAAATGTTATGAATAAACAACTTCATATAAAATCAAAATAATTTAATTTAAAAAAAAAAAAAAACTATTACCGAAATAACCCCATCCATCCTAACTTAAATTGTACCTAAACCTAAAGCTATATTATATAACTGGACTCAAACAAATTAAATGTATATTAAAAATAATTTTATTTAACTTTAATACATAATTTACATTTTTTTAATATCTAAGGCAATAATACTTCCAATTTTCTTCAAATTCTTTTAATTACATTTGTTATCTCTAATTTTTCGGAACAATGTTCGCATCATCGGAGCAATCTTTATCTTCACTTTCTTTTTTTTTGATGTGGCACCATTTGTCAAAAAATCAAATATTTGTCACATTTTTAAAAAATATATTTTTGGTGTTACACATCTTTTTATATTCATTAAATATAAAAAAAATATAAACGTAGGCTTCCTAATGAAATAAGAAGATAATCTATATTGTATAAATTAAAAAAAAATTCAACTACAGAAATAACCTCATCTATTCCAAGTAAATGTAATTAAAGATTACATCTTTTCAAATTGTTATCAAATTCAACATTTCTATTTTCTAATTAAACATATTGGTAAATTTTTACTAAAGGTGAGCTTGAAGAAATTTAAATTTAATATAAATAAAAATGAATTATTTAACTTAAGAAACAACTTATTATTATACAAATAAATATACTTTTGGTCGATTTAAACCTGAAGATATGTAACTGTTTGTTTTGATCATATTTATCGATACAATAACTCACTAAGTGCCTACAAATAACACAAATTCTTTTATATGTAAAAATTATTTTCACCCGACCTTTGCTCGGGTATTCTAAATTTTATAAGTAATATTTTTTTACTCAGTTAAATTATTTAGTTAAAAACAGGTTATAGTAATCTAAATCAACGACAGTCACACACTATATATAAATAGAAAATCGTATTTATTCTGGGACTAGGATCCTTAAGAATAACAATGTTGTTCATATAAATTAACAATAAATCTGGCCTAAAGAACTTTTAAAATAGGGTTTGAATAAAATAAGCATATACCTAGCTCTTAGGCCATATTAAAGAAAACGGTTGGGTAATAAGGTTGCAATACTACATTATTGGAGCTGAAACAACAATAGTGCATTCAAATAATACAAATACTTTTATTTATTTTTTTTATTTCTTAATGACATTTACAACTGTATTACATAAATACATCAAGTAAATTTGGACATAATAGATATAATGACATGAATACACTTGCTGAGTAACTACCCAATGGTAGCACTCTAATGATATGACTACATTAGGAGATCACGGGGCCATCACTTTTATATGTAAACATTAGTTTTACCTGACCTTTGCTCGGGTGCTCTAAATTTTATAAGAAATATTTTTCGACTCAGTTAAATTATTTAGTTAAAGCAGGTTATTGTAATCTAAATCAACGTTGGTCACACACTATATAGAAAAAAAAATCGTATTTATTCTGGGACTAGGACCCTTAAGAATATTGTTCATATAAATTAACAATAACTCTGGCAAAAAGAACTATTACAATAGGGAATAAATAAAATAAGAATATATCTAGCTCTTAGGCCATATTAACGAAAACAGTTAGGTAATAGGGTTGCAATACTACAATATTGGAGCTAAAACAATAACATAATAATCACTAAATGAAATTAGATAGAAACTCTGAATAAATTTTAAAGGGAAGGCATTGTAGTTTGTGTTGCCGAAATGCGAGACTAAAACGAGTCTTGGTCTTGCAAACTCAGTCTCGGTCATGGTCTTAGTCTTGAGCAAGAGTCTCGCAACAGTCTTGTAGTTACTTTTTAGCTTATTACTATAGAGATATCACTGTAATTTTTCAGATAGGAGAAACATAACTAAGCCCGAATGAAAAATTAGAGGAGTTAAATGTAAAAGTATATTGGTTATACCAATTATTAACATATAGTAACTAAGATTGTCAAGTATTAGTAACTATTTTGCCTTTATTTTTATTTAAAAAATCGATTTTTTTTACCAGTCCTGATCTTGGTCTTGCAACAGTCAAGCGGCCTTGAACAACACTAATTGTAGTGATAGAATATAAAAATTTAAAAAAAATAACTACTGTAAAAGAGATTAGGAGATGTAAACATGAAATAAAATATATGTATACACATAGAGAGGAGTGTGTCGGGAATAAGTAAAAAAAAAAAAAAATACATTTCAAATAAATACAATCTTTTGAATAGGAAATGTAGGAGTTAAGAAAAACAAAGTATACAATGCTTTGTGAACGGTGATGGAAATTCATGTTTAACACAGATGAAATTCCTTAGAATTTTGTTCTATGTATAAATCTTGTGGAGAGGGTGTGAATAGATGACATGAATTGTAGGAGATTGTATGAGTAAGTGTGGTGCGCATAGTTAACTGAGTTAACTGAGCATAGTGGTGCGAAACACGGGAACGTCTTAGGGTCCCAGGGACAAATCTTACTAATATATATTTTCTTTTTTTAAATCTAAAATACATATGAACTGTATCATTATTCGTAATCCACAAAGCTCTGTTCATCTAGCAACAATAAATCACTGTATATTCTACATTTCTAGAATGAAAAAAAAAGTATAAATTTATCACATATTTGTTTACCCATTGCCAGGGGTAGTTTATAATAATAGATAAAATATTTATTTTTTTAGTCTTCGTTATTAAAGCGAAATATTCGGCATTCAAATATTATATAATATTAGAAAAATAATAATAGAATAGCGAGTAAAGTTTTTTGAAACGGAAGATTCTAAGGGTATGTCATCCTACCTCACTATAACCAATGTCCAAGAGACAGATTGTTATAATACTCAATAAAGAAATATATAAAAAAAAAAAAAAAACTCCGAATAATGTTCGCTGCATGTATTGGTGATTTCAGTGCACCTCTCTAGATAAAAAATTCATGGGCAGTAAAAAAGAGATTCTGATAAAAAATGAAATTTCCAGTAGACATAATTAGTAATTGGAAAGATAATGCTTACGATTTTTTTTTTTAATCGCTTAGAACAGATTGAAAATTGTGAATAAAAAGAATCGTAAACTGGATAGCCTCCTAAAGAATCATTTTGAAGTTAAAAAAAGAAGCAATCATTGAGCTATTAACAGTTTGAAATAAAAAATAAGTAATAGCTTAAATGATTAGATCATAAAATAAATATTGAATAGAGTCCTATGAAAAAGAATGAAGAAAATAAAGTTATAAATCCGGACATTCCATTGTTTGCCAGGACGCAATAACGACTATATTATTTATTTATTATCTGAATTTGCCCGATAGGGCCATTGGCTATTCTTCCTTCACTCCGGTTTTCTATATTCTATTGTAGAATCCCGTTTTTTTTTTTTTTTCAAAAAGCCCATCAGAACATTCTCTTGTAATATTTGCTGAAGAGTGGTGTGTAATTTGAGGTTTTTTCTTGTGGCTGCTTAGTATTCACAATCCACGATATGTGGCTCACGGTTCTAGGGGATTCACATCTGACGCAGGTAGATGTTTCTCTACTGTAGAGAAAGTAACCGTGTGAAAATTCGCAGTATCCAATGATGACTATAAAATAATTTTAAAAAAACTATTTATTTTTATCAAATTTATATTTATTTTATTGATTATTTGTATTACTATATTTACCGTGTTATATTTTATTTTGTGTATACATATATATATTTTATATATGCATACTAACTTTAGCCTGTATACATTTAGGAATGAATTATTATGCCTAGTTCACACTAGTAGATATGTTGCGCGATTTTGCTAGGTTCTTCTTGGGGCAGTTAGTGTATCCACCAACGTTATCGTTTCACTTGTAATTAACACTAAACAGGTAATCATTGCACACAAAAATTGCGAAGTTAAGACTGAGAAATTCACATCGTAGTGTGGACGCTAGACGAGTCATGAAAATTTATTAGCTTTGTCTTAAATTACAATAAATATATTTTAATAGTATTCCTGGATTCGGAGCGATCTGGATCAAAATTACTAACAGGTGGAGAAGAAAGACAACAAAAGAATTGCTTGCAGAAACTGGTCACTTGTTAAGCCGGAAAAAGATCTACACGATCTGTAATTTAATATCCTTACATCTTAATTTACCAAACGATCTGTTTTCATTTTGTCAGAATTTGTTAAGAAACCCAATTATTTATTTATCAACAATTATCAACATTATATTAAATTTTATAATTATCTCACAGATGAACCTTAACCTTTTTGAATTCCCTATTTTGTTAATACTTCATTAAATATACTAAACTAACTATTCACCACTTTAATTTGAAACGTGTTATTTACCTCCGTTATTGGGTAATTATTATTCAGGATGCAGTCATTATAAAGTTTTTATTGGTGCCGACGCTTCAAACCTAACATGTGGGTCATCATCAGGGATGAAAAATTGTTGAATAAATTCAGAGATATAATATTATACGTCTGACAATGGTTAGTAATTACAAAGTAATAACAAATGAGTGATGATATATGAAATAGGCTAATGAAATATATAAAAAGATATATAGATTAAAAAATCATGTATATATTGTATTTATAAAAAAATGTAAAAATCCATATAAATTATAAATTTTTAAGAGGAGTTAATTGGGGGGTGCGGTCAAATAAATACTAAATTAAAATATAGTAATTATTTAATTTTTGCCGACGTTTCGACCCACTTTGCAGGTCGTCTTCAGGGCGTAGCACTGCGGGACGCAGTT